TCTATCAAAAAGAAAAAACCTTGTTAATAGAAAAAAATGATACCAGACACCTGGATTGTCATAATGTGATGTCTTGCATCTACAAGATCTATCATTGCAATAGTGCAGGACTAATTGTTTTTTAATGCAAGTTCTAAATTTTTAAACTCCTATGTTATTTAAATAATTCAGAGTTTAGGAGAAGATAGAAAGCTCCCTGACTCATTGTCATAATGCTATCATAAGTCTAAAGCCATAGCCTACTTTAAAATAATATAGAACAATTGAAGATCACATTTACTTATGAATATAGGTAAGAAATTTTTTTTAAAAAGGTAAATCAAATCTAGTAATATATTAAAAGGGCCAATATGACCAAATAGGGTTTGATCCAGGAATTTAAGAATAGTTCAAGCACTGGAAAATTATAATGGAATAATTTTAAGAAATTGAATGAGAATAAAAACATGGTCATAATAGTCAATGCTAAAGAAGTTCAACTGGCCACTCAAAGTTTAGAAACTTTATTTAAGATAGAGTGAATCTTCCCAAGATGTTGAAAGTTATTTCCTAGTAATGAACACTGAAAGCATTTTCATTAAGATTGGGAAAAGAGGAATCCCTTCTGCTACAACTAATAGTCAACAGCGATGGGTAGTGGTATATTACAGACAAGAAAAATAGATATTAAGACTAAAACTGATTATTACTCACAGTTGTGAGAATTTTCATACCTAGAGAAGAGATTAAAATAAACTTGTTGAAACTAAAAAGCAAACTTCAGTAATTCATGGCATGTAATATAATACACAGAAACCAATAGCTTTTTAAAAATATACTGGTATTAGTCTGATATAAATAGAAATGGGGGGAAATTCTTTTATAGATGTGACTAAACCATCCCATAAAAAAAGGACAAACATAAATATAACAGGAAAATGCCAATCATGATGCTAACCGTAGAACACTTTGAAAGGCATAAAGTATGACCTAAATGGATGAGGAGACATGCCAGGGGCATGCAGGTGGTAAGACTTAAAAATACAAATTCTTTTCAAATAAATACACAGATTAAAAGTAATTTAAAAAAAATGTTTTTATTTCAAAGAGAGAGGGGGGAGGGAGAGAGATAGGAACATCAATGGTAAAAGAGAAGCATTGGTCCACTACCTGATACTATTGGGGATAGAGCCCACAACATGGGCATGTGCCCTGACTGGAACAGAACAGTGACCTCCTGGTTTATAAGTTGATGCTCAACCACTGAGCCATGCCGACTGGGCTAAAAGAGATTGTTATCATAATTCCACGCACACGTTTTTAGTTCATTAAAATGATCCTCATGCTGTGGAATAAGTGTGAGGCTTGCCAAAAGAATCCTAGCAGGAAGGCCTCTTTTCATTGCTCTTTATCCCACACTCAGTCCTGCCCCCCCAAATGCCCTTAAAGGAGAAGTATGGAGCTCAAAAAGGAATCGACTTCTAACAATGAAGAGGAAGGGGAAGGAGTCGCTAATACGTTAAAGGCTCGGCATATTCCTGGCTGTCAGAAGGAAGCCCTGAGGAGGATCCCACCGGGTAGAGGCAGCCCGGCCCCAAACGTCCTTGGAGGGTTCGGGGGTGGCATGGTGTTGGCCTCCCCACTCTGAGCCCCATAGCACCTCTGGCCTCAGGGAGGAGATGAAAATAGGACCATTTTCAGAAGCCTCTATCTGATCAGCTCTGCCATGGACCCTTCTAATGCTCCTCTCCGGTCTCCACATGCAGAAGACCCAGCAGCCCAGGGTGTGCCCCCCAAATCATGCCAGGACTTTTCCCTAAAGAAGTGGATGCTGAGAAGAAACTGCGCGCCCCTGAATGAAGCACTCCTGAAGTTCCTGAGGAGGGGAGGTCGTGGAAGGGAGGAGAGGCTGCCCTCTGGGGGGCTGCCATGAGTAACTCCTTTAGCTCCTTGCTTCCCGTGATGTCCGTGCTTGGAGGATTTCAAAACGTGTGTCTTTAGCCGTGACCTGTCCCCTGAACTCATGCGCATGGGTCTACCCACTAGCTATAATGTCACCCTAAGAACATCTAAGCCATGGCGGTCCCAGCGGTGAATGATGACCAACGTAAGTTTCTGGAGACACTATCATCTTGCCTCCCCCGGCCTCACTGTCTAGTCTAGACTGTTGTCCTGCAGTCATAGGGCCCCATGGCTCAGGCAGGGTCTGCGGACCACAGTTCGGTGCTCGGACAATCTTCTCCAGACAGAGAGGAGTCACCGGAGGTTCTGAGCAGGAGGGTGATCGAGTTTAATCAAAATTTTTAAAAATAACCACTGGGGCCAAAACCAGTTTGGCTCAGTGGATAGAGCGTTGGTCTGCAGACTGAAAGGTCCCAGGTTCTATTCCAGTCAAGGGCATGAACCTTGGTTGCGGGCACATCCCCAGTAGGGAGTGTGCAAGAGGCAGCTGATCGATGATTCTCTCTCATCGATGTTTCCAACTCTCTATCCCTCTCTCTTCCTCTCTGTAAAAAAAAAAAATCAATAAAATATTTAAAAAATAAATAAAAATAACCACTGGGGCTCCTGTGTGGAGGATGGATTGTGAGTGGCACAAGCTTCGTGGGACTTTGGTTATTTCCTGGATGACTTTCTCCAGCATCCTTCTCTCAGCCAGGGGCCGCCGACTCCACCGGCATGTCCAAGGTGGAAAGATAGAGCAGCAAGTGACAGCGTGACCAGGCCAAAGCACCTTTGCCATCGCAGTCAGTGCTGGCACATCTGTGCCCTCTCTGGTTCCTGCAACTCGGCTGCTTTGAGAGAACTGTTTAAGCCCCCTCTGCATCTACGGGTGACGATCTGGAATGAATGTGGTCCCGTTCTCTAGGCTGGCCAGGAGAACGTGAAGTTCCTTAGGGAAGTCAGGACAGCGCCGGAAGCCCAGAGGTCACGGCTGAGTTGACCTGCCAGTGTCTTTCAACTTGTTTTTGTTAACTCTCAGTGATTTGTAGACTAATAACTAAATCAGTAATGGCAGTGGCAGGTTCTCTTCCCTCTAAATGTCTACGTTTAGTAACAGCGTGCCTGGGGGTCAGTGAAACACGAGCATGCTCTCAGGGGAAGGCGGGCAGCGTCAGGGCCGCAGGCAGCGGTGTTTCCTTGGGTGCTGTCATCTGGAATTGCTGCCATTCATCAGCCTAATGATAGTTCCTGCCGCCGCCTCAGCTGATTTGGGCAAGAGGGATTGCTGTATCAGAATGCAGAGGAGCAAGGATGGATGGCCTGCTGTGAATTCTCCTTAAAGCATCCCAACGACACCGAGGGGCATTTTCCCAGGCGCTTTTAGATAGCAAAAAAGGGTGGGAAGTATTGTTGTTATTAAGTGGCTGTTGTTTTTTTCTTGGTTAATATATTCTCTTCTCTGACATTAAATATTCCGATGTAATTTTTGACAAAACACTGCACCAGGCAGTATTTAAAAAATGGAATGTAAAAGGAGAAAGATTCTGAAATGCATTGTACTGTGGAGATTGAAGGAAGGGAACTAAGCACTACAAATGCGATTTGAAGTTGTTTTAAGGCAGATTCAACATTCAAAATGTTTACTTGGAGATATTTCCAAGTTGTGTGTGTATATATATGTGTGTATATATTTATGATCTCATCTCTCCCACAAAACATTGGACGTGGCTAGTAAGAATGTTTACAATAAAGTTAGGGCTGACAGATAAAATATAAGATGCCAAATGGACATAGTGACACTAAAAAAGATTCCTTGTTTACCTGAAATTCAAACTTAATTGGGTGCTCCTTTTTGTCAAGTCTGGAAATCCTATATAAAGGAGGAAACATGAGTAAATCAGTGAAGGTAGGATAGGGTGAGGTTTCAGTACAGATAGATATGAGGTCTAATATAATAGTGGAAGTTGAGCCATGGTCTTGGCCTTGAATCTTGATTGCTGGAGAGAAATGGACATATAATCTATTACAAGATGTGCACCACCCAGAAAAGTGGGGTGTTTAGAGAGGAGACATTTACTTGGGGCAAGAAGCATGGCCTAGTTTGGGGGTCTGATACAACCACAGTCTCCATTAAAAGGACCTTTCTGATGGGGCTGGTGGTGTAATATCCACCTGTATTGAGCATGTAATGAACTAGACAGTCTTTCAAAGAGAAGTTTGTTTTTATTTTAAAAATAGATGAAATCCATTTTTCGTTTTATACATTGTACTTTCTCACTTCTAGCTAAGAAATCATTCCCTCGCTCAAGGTCAAAAAGATTTTGCCTGTGAGTTTTCTGAGAAGTTTTAGATTTTATATTTCATTCTAGCACCCACCCCCCCTTTTATTTTTTTAAGAATCTCTGAGTACATGGAAAAAAAGTGCTTTCTCTCCCACCTGTGTAGTTGATGATGATTTGGTCACAGACAAGTTCAAAGTGCTCCATTATATCTTCTAGGAAGTGCATTTTTCTAAGCAAGTTAATACCGTGTTTCCCCGAAAATAAGACATCCTCCAAAAATAAGACCTAGCGCATGGAAAGATAAGACATCCCCTGAAAATAAGACCTAGCACAACTTTGGGAGAAAGAATTAATATAAGACACTGTCTTATTTTCGAGGAAACAGGGTAGTAAGCAACATTGTAAGGGGCATGCCTCAGGAAATTCATAGTTTTCACACCCATCACACACACACACACACACACACACACACACACACACACGCGCGCGCGCGCGCGCGCGCGCACGCATGTAAAACCTGTGCTGCCCCTCTGACTGTTCAGGCTGTCTTTGCTATGCAGTAAAGGAAATTCTGCAGGACTTTCCTTGGATTTTGTGATGTGAGCTCTCTTTGAGTTCCTGTGTGTATTTTGAAAATGATCCACTCAAAAACCCCCACACCATTCAACTAGTCCAATGTTGTGCTCAGACTGATGAAAATTTGCTTCCCCGGGAAGGCAAATTTTACTGTGGTTCTCAAGGGACACCAACACCCTCTTCGAAGGAGCCTAAGTGGGCCTGTTCGTTCCTTTCCAGCTTCCTGCTGAGGATCCTGAAATTTTTGAAGTTTCATCCAAGTGTCTGTCTATCCTGGTTCAGCTCTATGGAGGAGAAAACCCGGACAGCCTGTCTCCTGAGAATGCCGAGAGCTTTGCCGACTCACTGGCATCCAGGCAGGACCCCAAGGAGCAGAAGCTGCTGCTGCGGATTCTCAGGAGGATGGTGAGTCCGCTGGGAGCTGGGCGCCGGTGGCGGCTTCTGTGGAGGCCCGCGGGCAGGGAGCAGACCTCATCTTGGACCTGTTTCAGTATAAGCTCCAGCCACCTTTCCCCATAGTCACCTGATGTTACTACTTACGCTGGATCCAATTCTGCCTGTCAGGATGTCTTTTCTGAACTGAGCGTTAGAGAGCATTGCGCCCCCTCGCCCCTTCATAAAAGAAGTATGCGTTTCCTAACAAAATCGGCGTTTCTCACTTACCCATTGTCTTCAAATCGGGAAATTTAACTTGATGCTCTTGTTTTACGCCCCCCCCTGCCCTCCATATCGCGATTCTGTCAGCTGTGCCAATGCCCTCTGCAGCCTTATATTCTGGGCGGGACCCAGCCGGGAGCGCGCGCTTTGGCAGACTTTAATCTGGAAAGACCTGTAACCGTTCTTCATCTTCATCACATTTTTGAAGACGGTGGGCTGGGTGTTCTGCGGAATCACCGTCCGTTGGTGTCTGTCTGATATCCATTCAGTTCAGGAAAACCCCTGAACGGATGTTGTCTTTCTCAGGTCAGCACCTCCAGAGGCTCCCGGTGCCTGTTTGGTCGCTGCGTTAAGGCAGTGAATACTTACCATTCTTAAATTCCTAGCAGCCGCACAGTGGAGGTTTCCTAAGTCTCAGCGCTCTGTACCAGAAAGCTTTCCCTGCTGCCCTGTTTCTGTGTCCCGGCAGCTGATGCTGATCGGAAGGCACTGTTGGAGACGGACTGACTTTCTTTTCACAACAAATCTGATGGCTGGTTTTGGAGGCCGCTCTTTGCAGTGGCTGCTGTTGAAGTTTATGAAGGGCTGAGGGTCCTGCTGGTCTGGCTCATGTTCTGGTTGGTCGGTCTGTTGGCTTCTAGACACAGGCATCCGAGGAGGCCTTTGGCCAGCGGAGCTAGGGATGAGCCAGGGGGTCGCACTCAGGATAACTTTGGTGCCAATTTAATAAATAGATGGCGATGTATAAATAGGTGGTTGGACATTTCTCTCACAATCGGGGACTTCTGCTAGCTCCTAACTGCTCACCTGCCTGCCTGCCTGATTGCCCCTAACTACCCCCCTGCCAGCCTGGTCACTCCCAACTGTCCCCCCCTGCCAGCCTGGTCACCCCTTAGTGCCCCCCCTGCCGGCCCAGCTCAGTCTACCTGGCGGGTTATGGGTGACAGGCTGGAAGTGAAACAGAGATTTACCTCATCTCCCTCCCTCCCCGCTGGCCACGGCTACTTTATGCTTTTGTACAGCCAAGTCCCCCACCCCCACAAGACTTGCCATCTCTGCGAGCCATTCCCTAAGAAACAGAGTGATGACTGGTCTGGGTGACCCTCAGTGTAAAACCCTCCTGGGGACGGTAGACAGGAGGTCGTGCGCCAGCCTGGGCCTGGGGGACACCGAGTCACATGGGCAGGCAGGGGTTCCCTCTCCGTTTTCTTTGTCTCTCTGATGGTTTAGGGTGGAAATCTTGGTCTGGTACTTTTATGCCTTTAACACCTATGGGCTTCCTCAGAATCTCCTTTGCCACACAGGGTCTACCTCTCAGAAACTCGGCTTTTACAGTGGAGATATTTCTTTAAAATTGGAATTGTATTCAAATAAACAAAGCTGAGTGAACGTGAGACAAGTACTAGGGAATGTGATAACAGGACTGATGTCTGGATGTGGCAAAATGGTGATTTTGGTAGAGAATGACCAGTGCTTGGGAAATAGTGATTTAAATCTGATATGATTAATTTCATAGAACGTTCAGGACCAGGTCTGTTAGGGAATTCATCACTTCCCATCGCTTTGGCATGGCACTGGTACCATTCAGCCAGGAAGAGGGGGCCGTGGCGTTGGCTACCAGGGGAACATCTCTGCAGCCAGATGTGTGCGTGTGCACAGCGAGGGGGGATGCAGACTCCCTGCGGGCCGGTCAGGGCTCGGGTCAGGTTCTGCCACCAAATATGTTCGTGATCCAAACTCAGGGAAGCAGGTTTGGTTTCAGAGCTCTTCAGAACTGCAGACAGGCGGTGATGGGCCCGTCTTGGAAATAAATTACACCATTTTCTAAAATACCGGACACATTAATCATGCAGCAAACCACTTAGACCCCGAGTTGGTCAGAGTAACCAGACTGCACCGCCTTTAATTTACTATTTTACTGCGTGAAATAATCTCCTTCGAGTCTCTGCCCTGCTGCACAAAGAACCAGGTAGGTGGTGTTTGTGGGAGAAAAAGTGAATCTAAGTGGCTTTCTACCCATTTATGGGGAAACAAGTAATCTCTGGTGCTACTTACCTCTTTTAAAAAATTATGGTAAAATTCATATCAGATTTACCAACTTTACCATTTGTAATTGTACAGTCAGGAGCACTAAGTGCAGTCACATCGCTGTGCAACCGTCACCACCATCCATCTCCAGAGCCTCTTCCTCCCAGATGCAGCCCTACCCGCTCACCATGACTGTCCCTCCCGACCCCAGCCCCCAGCCCCCGGTAGCCACCATTCTTGAAATACCTGGTTTAAGGCCCAATTTCGTGAGTTTCTTTCTAAAACTGCAATTTTCACTAACAGATGAAAGACTGAGGAAGTTTACCCTGCGCTAATGGTGCTGCCCCCAGGGTGCTCTTCTTACTTAGTCTGTAGTTAGAACATCCAGAGAGTTTAATTACCCATTGTCATTGCCAGGAAGTTGGGCGCTTCTATAATTATACTCTGTGTTCCAGCTTTAACACCGTGATGGAAATCATCCTGCAAGGTGCTCTCCCCAGTTTACCTCCCTCTGAACGCCCAATCCATGGGGGTGTTCCCCGAGCGATGATTGCAGATGAGCTGCTTGTCCTTTAATTAAAGCTGGCTGCCTCCTGCTCTCCCTGTATCCACTGCGCGGAAACCACCGCCGCCTCATTCTGTGAAACTGGCCTCGGCGTGTACCCCCGTGTACCCCCGCTCCTGTGAAGGCGGAGGGAGGCCTGGCCCACGGGAGGCGGTTGTAACTGATGTCCTGACTCCCACCTGCCCGCCCAGCTACCCTGTGATCCCTCTGTGCAGCTGATTAGAACGAAAGGCTATTACAGACATCCAGCCCTCGGAGACCCTTTCCTGGTGGCTTTCCCCAAGTCTTACTGTGCTCACATCCCTTTTCCTTTAGCTGCTCATCATGTAGAACCCTCCCCCTCCCCCCCGGTCCTGTTCATACCACCGGGAGAACAGAGGTGTTCTGTTGCTGGATTTCTTCATATAAAGAAAAGCCTTTAGCTTGGCCAGTGTGGCTCAGTGGTTGAGCATCAGCCTATGAACCTGGAGGTCACAGTTCGATTCCCTGTCAGGGCAGATGCCCAGGTTGCCGGCCTGGTCCCCAGAAGGGGCCATGCAGGAGACAGCCGATCAGTGTTTATTCTCTCTCTCTCTCTCTCTCTCTCTCTCTCTCTCTCTCTCTCTCTCTCTCTCTCTCTCTCTCTCCCATCCTCTCTGAAATAAAATTATATTTAAAAAAGAAAAGAAACGCCTTCAGAGACCAGATGGGGTAAGGAGGAGTTCCGCAGCCATTCATGTGAGAAACGGAACGAGTCTAGACTCAAAACGGAAGGGACTATTTCAATTAGAGAAGCAAGGACGTGTTCCCTGAGGTATAGCACATAAGTAATAGGTAAGATGATGCCTCTTTCTCTCCAGCTTATTTGCCTTGTGGTTTCAGTCCTTCTGTTCTGGATTATTTTCTTAACGGAAAAAAGGGGGGGTGTGCGGGAGATTGGTGTGAAACCAGTGGCCTACAAAGGAAACCCTCCGAACCCAAACGAGTGAAAAGTGAACACGATCCATTCCTGTGAACCCGGGCCCTCGTTCAGGGGCACCTGCACCCCGAGAGGATGCTCCGAGTTCCTCTCCCGGGATCGGTCCCTCACACCGGTCATTTGTTACCCGGATAAGCTGTCTCTGCCAGCGATTGCCATGGGGCACGCTCACTGGGAACTCTGAATGATTTAGCTGCATCTTTCCAACAAAGGAGAGAAGTGCCTGCCTGCAGTTTCCACTCCATTTCCCGAGGAAACCTTCAGAGGTTTTGAGCAAGATAGAACCCGGAGGCACAGGGCCGGGGAATGGAGCCGTCACGCTCAGGACTGAGGCTTGTGTGTGGCCGGAGTGAGACTCCGTCCTCAGGAGACTGCGGGAGTGTGGGCAGCGTTGCCCCATGTTGGCAGAGGATGTACAGGTGGCAGAGAAAGCTTTCTTCGTGCCCTCTGCTTCCTCCTCCCTGTCCCCCGTGGCAGCTCCTGGTGAGCAGGCCGGCACCCCCACTTTTCCGCTCAGACCATGTTGGTGGCTCCCAGGCAGCACTGTTTTCCTTCTGTTTTGACTTCTTTTCTCAAGAGATTCAGCCCCACTACCCCTTCCTGAAACTCTTCTGTCAAAGAAAACCCACTCCCTGTCTTCTCTAACGAGCCTTCTGGTTCACGTTCCCACCTGCCATTGATGACACTGCACCCACTTATATTGTGAAGTTCCAAAAACACGGAGAGGTTGAAAGAGTAGTTTGATGAACACCTGAGTAATCAAGGATAATCAGAATTGTTATCATTTTACCAATATTTATTCAAGTGTCCATATAGTTTAGTCACACAAGGTGTTGTCACCGTGATATTTTATTTCTATTTGTGTGTTTTTTAGTTTTTAGATAGTTTAATTTTATTCTGTATTGAATTTTCTGGGGTGATAAAATCGCATAGGTTTTGGGTATCTATGTGTTTTAAAAATCATGTGGAAATGCCCTAGCCAGTTTGGCTCAGTGGATGGAGCGTCGGCCTGCGGACTGAAGGGTCCCAGTTTCATGCCTTGGACCAAGGGCATATACCTGATTTCGGGCTTGATCCCCAGTGGGGTATGTGCAGGAGGCAGCCAATCAATGATTCTCTCTCATCATTGATGTTTCTGGCTCTCCCTTTTCCTTCCTCTCTGAAATCAATAAAAATATATATTTTTTAAAAAACCCA